TTTTTCCGGTCCTTAGAAAATCGGAGACATGTGAGGCCAGACAAAGCAAGGCTGGGGCTGGTGGGATTCGGAGGGGCCCCGTCTGCTAATCCAGCTCCTCTGCTGTGAAAGCAGGGAGCTGGGTGGGGCCCCCATCTCCTGGCAATGGCAAGTGAGTATGGAGCAAGGAGTGGAGAGGGGCTGGGTGGGGACCCAGCTGTCGGGTGGTGGCGCCCTCTGCTGGCCCCAGGCAGTTCCTGGACAAGGCACATGGGGCTTTGGCCTGGATGGGGGAGGCCTTGAAGGGACCTCAGGGGCAAAGAAAGAGACCTGGGTGTGGTGGGCCATTCCCAGGGCATGGAGGGGACTGGTTTTGTTGTGGGAATCCAGTGGCCCCTCCACGATGGTTTAAAAAGCACAAGCCCCAAGTCTCCCAGGCCCCACCTGGTCTGGGGAACCTCCTGGCCAAACCAGAGAGAGAGGAGAGAGCCTGCCCCAGCCCCTCCCTGGCCAACCACCCACGCTGGAGGACTGCAGAGTGCTTTGCATAGATAGAGTGGAGGGACAGGACTGTGGGGCTTCCGCGGCCCCTCCTGGAGGCCGTGGGGGGGTGTTTGGTCTGGGTCTCGGGGGCCTCACAGGTCACTCTCGCCATACAGGGCGGTGGAGAAGGACTTGTAGTCGAGGGCACCGGGCACGGCATCAGGGCCCTGGTAGGGTGCCATGCGGGCAATGCAGTACTCGGCCTGGTCGGGGGGCAGCTCTCTCCGCAGCTCCTCGGCTGTGATGAAGTTCTGGGATCGGCAGGATGGGACTCTGAGCCATCCCCACCCACATACTGGCTCCCTCAGCCCCTCCCCATGCAGGGACCCCTCTTGCCAGCCCCCATGTGCCTCATGGGGTCTCACCTTGTCCCCTGCCAGGACCTTGAAGGAGGCGATGACCTGGTCGGCCGTGTCCGTGTCGGTGGTCTCTCGAGACATAAAGTCGATGAAGGCTTGGAAGGTCACAAGGCCGCTGTGGTTGGGGTCGACCAGGCTCATGATGCGGTTGAACTCAGCGTCACCCTGCAAGGAGGTAGTGGGGTGGGGGATACCCAACATTGAGTGGGGCAGGGGCAGCCAGGCCCACACCGGTGGGGTCTCCAGAAAAACAGCCAGGAGAGCAGGGCCCACCCCACGTGCGCATCCGCCCTGTTCCCTAGCTGCTCCGGCTGCCCCAGGCCCCCAGTGCCCCAGGCAGGGGAGCAGGGCCCCTTTGCATCCTCCCCTCCCGTGGTCTCCGACAGCAGAGACCTGGGGTCTACTGCCCTCAGCACAGGCTCATGAGTTAGCTCTGGAGGGTGGGGAAGAAAGAGAGAAAGAGAAAGAAAAGGGGGAGAGCATGGGAGAGCTGCCCTCCCTCTCTGGAGACTTCTAGGGAAGAAGAGGGGCTCAGGAAGTCATCGGAGGGACCCCACCCCGGCAGGTGCAACAGAGGAGGCAGGCCCAGCTGCACTGCTCGGGCAGAGGAGTGTCCCCGAGGACGAGGAAGCTCTGGAGGTGGTGAGGGGGAGAGGCAGGACAGGAGGAGGAGCGGGTGGCTGGGGAGACAGAACTGCATACCAGGCTGTATCCTGTGGAGATAAGCAGAGCCCTGAAGTCATCGGAGTCCATGCTGCCTGTCTGCTTCTGCTCCGAGGACGCAGGCATAGCAGAGGAGGCCGGGCCCAGAGTAGGCAAGAGGGGCCGCCCCATGTGCACAGCGGGCAGACAGGACAGTGGCGGGGAGCAGGGAGACAGCGGCCCCGAGAGACCAGGTAAGGGGGAAGGTGTCCAGGGAGACGAGGGCAGGGAGGCAAGAGAGCCATGAGATGGCACACAGGTTGCAGGGGTGGGATGGCGAGGGGAGAAAGAGAGAAGGAGAGAGAGAGAGAGCAGTTAATGCCAAGGTCCGCTGGGGCCCAAGGTGCAGTACCTGCCGGTCGTTCTCCACGTCGTAGCCCAGGCTGATGAGGCAGGCCTTGAACTCCTCGGGCCCCAGCGCCCCGCCATGGTCCTGCCGGGGCCATCCGAAGGCAGGTGTATGGGAGGGGCGGCATGGATGAGGGATCAGGGCCACATGCAGAGGGCAGGGGGAGGGGACACGTAGGGGAGGGAAACACAGAGTTAGAGGTGATGTGGACAAAGAGATGGCCAGGGCCCCATGGGGCTGGGGGCAGCTCAGGCCCCTTTCATCCTGCTCCCCACCTCAGAGGCTCAGAAGCAGGCAGAGGCCTCCCCCACCTCTCTGCCCATAGCAGGGGTGGCAGCTGGGAGCTACAGACTTGAGGGTGAGTCCCAGGACTGGTGGGGGGTAGGGGGACTCTCCTTGCCTTTGGAATTTGGAGTAGGACAGAGGAAACTGCACCCCATCCTGGGGCACACCAGGTGCAGAGCTGAGGCTGCACATGCCTAGCCAGCTGGGGGATGCGTCAGCCCAGCAGGGTGGGCTGGGGCGGGCAGCAAAGTGTGGTGCTCAGGGGCCTTCTGATGGGGCTGCCGGACCAAATCTGAATTCTAAAAGCACCGTGGGGGATGTCTGTGTCCAGATTCACAGACAGGGTCGCAAAGCCTGGGTGTGCTGAGACTTCATCTGCCCCGGGGGTGGTGAGGATAACGCCCCAGAGGGCATGACTTGGGGCCCCCAGCCCCCTGCCTATGTGTGTGAAGTGGCCTAGGTTAGGGTCTCAGTGCTGCATGGCCGCACCCCGACAGTAGCAGGGCCCTGGGAATGTCGGCCAACAACTCAGCAACTGTGACGGGAATGGACAAACAGACGCAGAAACGAGGGGGCAGGATAGGACAGCAGTGGTGGGGAGGGGAGAGGCCAAGGAGGTGGCAGGCCACTCACCTTGTCAAAGTGGTTGAAGGACGCCCGGAACTCCTGCATCTGCTCCTGGCTGATGCCCTTGGCGTCGCGGGTGAGGATCTGGTTCTCTACCTCGTTGATGGTGCGGGCGATGGTGGTGAGCAGCTGCTCCCAGCCCACGCGGATGTGCTGGGGGAGGACAGGGGTGTGACCGTGGGCTGGGCATGGTGGAGTGTCCTCACCTTCGGGGGGTGGCTTCAGGAGCCTGCCCAGCCCTGGAGAAAGCCCCTGCTCTCCTGTATGCCTCACTAGGGCCACGGGCTGGGGTACCTCTGCTGCCTTTGCCAACCTTGGGGTTTATGTCTCCACAGTAAATCTGTTTCCTGGCTATGGGGGCAGCGAAGAGGCAAGGACTTATGCCGGGATCGCTGTGGAGATGGGACATACGCTGGCCAGTCTCATCCCTGGCTCTCAGGGGAAAAAAACAAAAAAGCCAACTCTGGTTGGAGGCATCTGTGGACCTGTACTGGGTGGATCAACAGTATGCAATCTTTTGGCTTCTCAAGCTAGCCGTATGACAGTGACCAGCTTGTAACGTCCCTGGCACGTTAGCCAGTGGGAGCTGCTGCAAAGGCTCTGGCCCCAAGAAGGCTGATACTGCGGAGGCCACAGGGCAAATGGTGCCCTCAGTGAGCCTCTGGACCAGCTTGTCCTGTGAGGGGCATTGTCTTGGTGATGAGCACTGCTCTCATTTTGATCTAGTCATTTCAATCCTTTTTTTTTTTTTTTTTTTTTTTTTTTTTTTTTTTTTTTTTTTTTTTTTTTTTTTTTTTTTTTTTTTTTTTTTTTTTTTTTAGAGACAGGGCCTGGCTCTGTCACCTAGACTGGAGTGTGGTGCATAACCTTGGCTCATCTCAACCTCCACCTCCCTGGCTCAAGCAGTCTTCCTACCTCAGCCTCCTGGGGAGCTGGGACTATAGGCATGCACCACCATGCCTGGCTAACATTTTCATTTTTTGTGGAGACAGGCTCTTGCTATGTTTCCCAGGCTGGTCTTGAACTCCTGGGCTTAAGCCATCCTCCCACCTCAGCCTCCTAAAGTGCTGGCCTTCCCAATCATTGTTAAACAGAGTGAAAAAATGACAGCAGACAGCTATCTTCTCACTGGCCCAAACCACCTCCAGTGAGGAAGCCAGCCATGCTGGTGGAAAGGCCAGAGGGTGGGGCGGCCACGCACCTCCATGGTGTAGTTGGTGTGCTTGTTGTCGAAGATGAGGGCCTCCTGGATGAGCTGGTGCTGCTGCTCTAGCAGGTCCAGGTTGGGCTTGTAGTCCACGATGCTGCGCTCGTACTGCTTCAGGTGGCTCAGCTGGTCCTCCAGGGTCCCGTTCATCTCAATGGAGATGCGCCCGATCTCCTACCGGGTGGGTGCAGGCGGTGGGGTGAGGCTGGTGGGCCTGCCAACCCTGACCATCTAGGGGAGCCCACTCCCACTCCCACTACGGGCCTGCATCTCCCGGGGCCCCTCCAACTAGGAGCCTTGGCCTGTGGGTTCCTGGAAGGGAAGGCCCGCCGCTCATGACTGTCCCCTCTGGTCCTGCCCTCTCATGTTAAAGCAGCCACGACTGACGAGGAGGCTTTCTCTGCCAAGCGCTCCCCATGCCCAACTTCATTTTACCCTTGACCTCTCTGTGAGGCTGGGACTGTGGCAGGCCCTGACTGCAGAGGTAAAAACCGAGGCTCAAGGAGGACAGGTGCGAGGGATTCCAGGCACAAGCTCTGTGGACTCTCCTAACCCTGCAGAGTGCTCAGGGCCCCCAGCTGGTGAGA